GGTAGTGTAGCATGGTGTATATGATTATTAAAGACTATTTTTTGTTGTTCGAATAAGTATTTTATGTCTTAACAACAAGAAGAACAGATGATAATAGTTCATTTAGAGAATCTCAAGCACAGAGACACACAAAGATGAGTAGCCGTACTTGAAGACGCTCATGCTTATCTACAGGTATGAGGACGATTTCAACGAAAGCCACTTTCCTTTGTTACATGCCTCCATGGCATAGTGGATTAAGTATGTCCAAGAAAAAACAATTTTTAACTTTTGTTTTCTCCATATATTGTTCTAAAGCTTTCAGTTCTGCCCAGAAATGTGATAGGAAAAAGATTCAAAACTGCAATGGACCAAAACAATTGTTAATTTTTGTTCTGCATATATTGAAGAGCTTTGTATTGAAGAGTCAAGAGAAGACATGAATAAATGAGTATTATTTATCTTATTGAACACATACTTTCTCTAGTGAGCACTCGATTTATCTGTAGACTGTAAGAAAACAACAACAGAATAAGTGTACGTGTTTCATTTACATATATGCATTGAGTTCTTAAGATCTTCAGTCTAGATTCTTTATGTTCTGTTATGTAAAGAGGTCTTTGTTATTTGGACAATGCATGGAAGAATACAAATTAAATATTGAACTATGAAAAACAAAGACCAAATAACAAATTAAACAAAGAGGATAATAGTTCATTCAGAGAATCTCAAGCACATAGACACAGAGAGATGAGACGCTCATGCTTATCTCCATGTATGAGGATGATTTCAGCGAAAGCCACTTTCTTTTGTTATATGCCTCCATGGGATTATGTATGTCCAAGAAAAAACAATTTTTAACTTTTGTTTTCTCCATATATTTTTCTAAAGCTTTCAGTTCTGCGATAGAACAAAGATTCAAAACTGAAATGTACCAAAACAGTTGTTAACTTTTGTCTCCTGCATATATTGTTTTAAAGCTTTCAGTTCTGTCTGAAATTATTATATAACAAAGATTCAAAACTGCCATGGATGGTAGGAGCCGCGCGAACGCAGGCTCCCTCTGCCACAAATAATGACACAGGCTCTCCCACTTGGGGAGACCTTAGGCTAAGCACCCCTCCTTAGAGTGCAGTGGAGGTCACTAGCCTAGGCCACTCATCTTCTTGATCATGAGTTGAGCCTGTCCAGGTAAGTGGTTTGCTTGTTCACTCCACTTCCCTTCTTATACTCTCCTCTGCGAGTCATTCTTCATAAGTGCAAACGATGTGGGATAATGGAACACATCTAACTACTAGCACAAGCCTGAAATGGGTTGGGTATTGAACATATGGCCCGGACATAAAGGCCCATAAATGAAAATATGGGGATTGTGTTGAAAGAAAGATAAAATTGTCTTTGAAGGAAAGAAAGATTGTATATGCTAACAATCTTCTACAATCAAACTTGCGAAAATGTATCATAGCCAGAAAACGTACGAACATTTTAAATCATCGATCCAATATATGTTATTATAGTGACCCCAGTGCCAATCTTAGACAAGGGTGTCTAACGATCTGAGTTTGGAATATGAAGATATTGATCTGATCTAATCAGCTTCATAAAAAGAATGTAAGTCCAATTTATTCATATAATTTTCTGAAAGTACGTCTTACATTTCCGAATCCCGTATACTGCAAACAATCCCAAGTCTTGGGGATTATATAAACAAGAATGAATTCATTTCGAAAGCACCAAAAACAAGGATTTAAGAAACATGAAAAAATGTCACTAGTAGCTATGAAATGCCTATAATAAGAGAATGAGCAATGATAAAAGAGCTTTTTTAGTCTTTGGTCAAGTTGTCGGGCTTGAGAAATTTGGGGTAGCGATCGGTAGCTCCGGTTTTGTGATCGTAGTACTCAACAACAGCTGCTCCAGCTAGAGCGGCTAAGGTCAGAGCCTGAGCGTGCAGCCTGAGAATACAATTCAATACAGAATATGTGTGAGACATGTAATGGTGAAGAAGAGATTTACTATCATCATTATCTTTTCATGATGCAATGTAAAGGAGGTCAAAAGACAATCAACTAAAAAAAAAAGACTTAACATCATCGTGCATTTGTGATATACATCCAACAACCTAAATATTTGTGAATAATATGTTTATAAGTACAAACGAAGCGTACATGCAAGTGGCAAGTATAGTGTATATGATTATATATTGTAGACTCGACTTGTTGTTGGCTCGAATCAGTATTCTACATGATGTAACCAGTGAAGAAACAAGGAGAGCAAAGGATAATAATTCATTTAAGAGAATCACTAAAGCACACACAAAGAAGATATAGAAGATTAACCATTCTTGAAGCTCATGTTTTTCTACATGATGGAGATGATTATGAAAATTTCTAATGATTCTTAACTAATTAAATTCGATGCATGTTTCTTAACCATTAAGAAGAGAGATTAAGAGAAACAAAGTGGTGTACCTAGCGTGGATGATTCGGACACTGGTTTTCATACCAGGTTTGGACCAGTTATAAGCGATTGAACCAGAGATCCCACTCAGCCATAAACAACCTATATCACAATTCAGATCAAACCATAAATATATATATCAGAAGAACACACACACGGAAACGCGTCACGGAGAATTCGAAGCAAATATGAAATTTGATTTTGGCACAAAAAAGACCTAAAGTAATCAAAATTGAGATTAAAACATTTCGAGGAGAGGAATAATTCAGATGAAGACGACATATAACCAAAAACAGATCTATAAAACATTCGATTTTGATATTACCAACGGTACGAAGCTTGTGTTCAACGATCCATTCCCTTATTTCTGCCATTTTTGTCTTTGATTCCGCCATTGCTAAAGAGCAAAACGAATAAAACGAAGCTCGAAAGGAGAGGGTAGAACCAAAAAAAATAAAAGAAAGAGATTGAGGAAGAAGAGTAGAAAAGCGCGTTTGGCCGTGGTTTTAAAGCGACCAAAGGCGGAAAAACCTGAGCAAGAGAAACCCAATTTGCTAACTTGCGCCTTCATCCCGCTGTCTTCTGATACGTGTTTATTTATTAATTACGTGTAATAGTTTTTTTTTCATTTTTAGGCTCGAAGCCGTAAAACCGCCTAAACTCTTATTTTGCTCGTATGGAAAGCTTGCATTGCATGAATCCTCCTAGACGTTCTCAAAGCTTGTTAGATTCAAGCAACAAGCCAATATAATATAAGTTGCCTACTTGCCTTGTTCGTATAGTTAGCTAGTCTCATGTTGCAACTGATAAACCATACAGCTTCCATAGTTACTTGACGCTTAAAAAGTTTAACAAAGGAAAAAAAAAACATCCAAGTTACTGCGAACCACTAAAAACCTTAGTTTCAGAAACATAGGGTCATCGCTTCAAACACAAATTAAAAACACAGTACATTAAGTCTGTCCTCTTTTACTGGACTTGGAGCCATCCTTCCTTTTCTACCCAAATGTTGAAATGAGGAAGTTCTTGTATACGCTCATAAACTTGGCCACAAATGCTGCAGTGTTTACACCCAACAACATCAACACCCATAAAAAGATGATTTTCTTTTTATATAACCCAAATGCAATAAACAGTTTATACATTACCTTCTATGTGAAATATGGCTTTCTGACCTAACCTCATCCGATGTTCCTGTAACAAGGAGCCAAATACATCATCGTCATCAAGACAGCTCAGCCTCAAATGAGAACACGGGTGTTTAGACAATGCGTGGTATACAAATATGTCTTACATAATATGCGGCCCAGTGGCAGACTTCAAGCTTTAGCTCTGAGTCCAGTTTCCTCAGCAATTCATGAAGAAGACTCTGTAAAAGCATAAAACTATGTGTAAAAAGGCACAATAAATAATATAATTGGGTATTTTTGTTTGAAACCTTCAGTATGACTTCTGGTGGAATGCAATTAACTAGCAGCTCGTATACCTTCCCGCGTACCTGAAACAAACTGAAGAAGCACACGAGAGAATGATTAGATGAAGGGATGGTTAAATCTATAATTTGCAAAACTAAATGATTTACTAAAGTGCAACCTTTTAGGGCTCTGTTCCCTCAGCATGTCAGTTGCTATTTCAGAAACATACTCTTCCCAATCCATGGGAGATATCACTTGTTTATCTGTGAATGGATAGCTACAACGAGAGAACATGTTAATTATTTTTCATAAAAAATGAATCAGATTTATTGATTGTCTGCATAGATACATTTAATGATGCTTACTTTTGGACACGACAAGTTTCAAGTGACAGAATAGCTCTCCTAAGACTGCGATTTGATTTTTCAGCAATACGAGCAGCAAAACCGTGGGGCAGTTGCAGGCTTTCTTTCTTTGCAACGAACTCCAACACTTTCACTATCTGGAACAAACTTGCACATCTCAGACATGCTACAGGACAGATACTCATGAACATAAAGGATACAAGTTTTAACTTGTGTTCTAGCCAGTTAAGCTTGAAGTACACAGTAGGAAGGGATTACGATGTCAGAATTGATTTCTATAATGATCTACGCGAAAACGAAATGCTTCCACAGGATGGGCATTTAAAAGAAATTTTGTTGGTTGATTATTTAAGCGAAGTGTCTAAACTGAGAGAAACAGCTTCTGTACCTCTTCCTGTGAAGGTGCATTTATCCGCACATTGAGACAACGAGACTTGATCGCTTCTGTAACCTTTGAAGAACTGTTACAGCATAAGATGAGACGGCAAGATGAGCTATACTTCTCCATGGTTCTCCGCAGAGAATGTTGTGCTTCTCGTGAGAGCTTGTCAACTTCATTTAGTACCAACACTGCCAAAACAAAACAAAAAAATCATGCGTTTGCGCACACGACCTAATACTTTCCCGTATATCGGCCATCATCCAACACTAATATGTGCAAGAAGTAAATTATCTGAGAACAGCATGGAGCAAAACATAGACTAGAAACGAAGTAAGAGACGAGGGATAAGTTGATAACCGAGAACATATAACCATCTAAATGTATAATGAACATGAAGCCTTAAGTCTAAATATACGAGGCAACAATCTAATCGATCGTGAAACAAAAACTATTATGAACCATAAAATGTAGACAAAGTCAACCACAGTAGCATCTAGATGGAAGATGACATCTAGTTCCCATATTCCCACTCTTTCTAGACTCCTCAAAGAACTATTATCAGTTCTCGACATAAAAAAATGTCCCCACTAATGATAATGTAGTGTGAAACATTAATGCGGAACAATAATTCTTACCCTTGTATCCCTTCTTTCCTTTGGTGTCAATTGGTCTGTTCTTGGCCATTTCTTTAATGATCTCTTGAACGATGTATCTATCTTGAAAGCCTGCATCACTTGGAGTAAGCTCCACATGATTGGTGCTTGATAATGTAGTGAGCTCCAGATCAATAGTTCTACTCCCAGCCTGCATTTTTCAAAAGTTAGCATAACAAAAAGATAGAAACTTGAGCTGTTTTTGAAAAATGAAACAGAAATTGATTAGACGTACGAAGAACCTTAAGACACTTTTGGGTATGGCTTAGTGGGTTTCATACATATTAATAATTTGAGACAACAAAACTGAAAATTCTCACAATATTTTCATGCTAAAAGGGGAAGAAACAATCGAAAAGGACCACCAAAAGAAAATGATAGCAAACCACAATTCAAATCTCTCAGTTAACAAATACAATAATACACTGAAACATGATTTACTGATCAATCACAACAAGGACAAAAGACGAATATGGATATCAAGCAGAAATAATTTAATAAGTAAAAAAAAAAGAGCAAGGAAAACAGAAAACCATGTACAACTCACATCAACTTTCCATGCCCTGTTCTCCACTTTCACCTGCAGAACGAAAATGAAAAAAAAAATAGCAATCAGAAGATAAACATCAATGTAAGGATAAGATAGAGAGTAAGTGCTATGGAGAGAGTAAATTTTAACCAGATCTCAACATGCCAAAACACAGTTTACTTTGTTCAACAGAAATAGTGTTCAAACTTAAAAGTCTTCATCTTTTGTTATGAGCAAACTAAACCCAGAAAGAAAGAGACAAAGGGGAAGAAGGATACCTACCTTCTCAGCACTGGCACCATAAATCTGCTTGAGAAGCGCCATGATTAGGGTTTTCTTACCCGAACCTGACGGCCCATAGAACAGCAAATGCGGACAATCTTGCTCCGTAACCTACGCAGATAATCAAAATTCAGCTCCCAAAACATTCAAAAATCAAAACTTTGACCTAGGGCTCGAAACAAAATCAGTACCAATTTCTTGAGATTTTGAGCGATGTCCTCATGAACGATGACCTTGTCTAGCGATTTAGGCCTGTACTTGTCTACCCACAACATTTTTCTCACTACCTGAGGGTTCTGGGGAAGGCAAATGGAAGCGGCGGGAAAAAGTGAATCGTCTTTGTCGTCCTCTACACACACACTCAGCAGCGTCTTTCTGAAAACGTATGTTAGCTACTCATTCGATTTACGCCTCCCCACAGCGATGCGTACGCCTCTTTCTCTTTTAGAGTCTTAGAAGTTCACTCGATTTTAAGGTTTCCGTGGAAAACTTGATTATACGGTTTTTCAGTTTTTTGACTAAAATACTATATTTTACGGTTTACACAGGGAAAATTCAGTTTTACGATTTTGATTAGAAAACACAGTTTTGTAATCTTGACAGGAAAATTTTGACAAAAATAATTTTAAAGTTTTTGTGGAAAATGTGATTTTAAAGTGTTGGTGAAAAAATTCGAACGATTTTATCTAGAAACATAATTTTACGATTTTAACAGAAAATTTTAATTTTGTAGTTTTGACGGGGGAAAAATAATTTTGTGGTTTTAACCAAAAACAAACAATTTTATGGTTTTGACGAAAAAATTAATTTTACGATTTTGACAGAAAAAATCAGTTTTATATATTTGAAAAAAAAAACAAAATAAAATTATAATTTTCAAATTTCTTAAATCCAAATATTTTGGTTATTTAGACCGACCAATGTCCATTCCTACATAGATAATTTACCTTTTAGTTTCCGGTTTCCACAGCTTTGTATAGCGTTTCAAACCGGGTTGCTGATAGATGAATAATTTATAGAGAACATTTGTGTTTTTTTTGTCATCTAATAGTAACCAAATCAAAAGTGTATATCAAAGAACTCTAAGAAATTAAAACTGACAGGAGAAAAGCATATAAAATCTCAAATTTATATATTCAGCTCATTGTGATTAATTTTATATATTCAGCTCAAAGTGAAATCAAAGACATAAGAACTCTTAAAATGCGAGTGTAGCCAGTAGCAAGACAAGCAGAAGCGATTGGTTCCAGCCAAATAAACAGATAGATGTTGCATCAACCACGGCCACGACCTGCTCCTATTTACACATCATATTATAGTTTAGTTTAAAATCACATTGTAGCAATTGTAAAACTATGAAGAAGATCATCAATGAAGTCTAGTAAAATCAAAATTTTGTGACAGCGATTGGTGACAGCTTTACCTCTGTTGCCGCTCATCTTCGCCATTGAAGCTCCTCGGCCGCGCCCTCTGGCGCCTCCATCATCCATACCACGTCCTCTTCCACGTCCAACACCTGGTGGTTTTCTATCTGCAAATATTTAAATAACTATCAGGAACGGTTTGCTTCTGTCTGAAAAAAGACACCATATAGACATGAGAAAACTATACCTGTGCGGGTCTTCTCCTCCTGAACTTTATCAATCACCTGAACAGAGAACATTCAATATAAGTAAACAATCTAGTTTGAAATATATTGTACAAGATGTAAGAACATAAATAGAGACAGCTTATGAGTGTCATTTTCCAGATATCTAGAATGCTGTTCACTGAATAAAGAGATAAAAAAGGGAGTATTCAAATATAAGGAGTTACTGGCTTCATAAGTATAAAACAAGTGAGTCAATAATCTGGTCAGGCAAAACCCATTCTCTGTGATATCGTCCAAGACACGCTTCAACAAGAGGCAAGCCATGTTTCGAACAAGGTACAATGCCTCTTGGAGCACATATCTGATTTGGCTAAGCATCATCACTCCAGAGAGAGAAATACAAAACAAAGAATAAAACTAGATCAATCAAGAGGCATATACACAAAAGAGTATATTACCTCATCAGGAACTCGAAGGTATTTGATCGTGTTACCACGGATGTAACACTCCGGCATCCTCCAAAATCTGTCTCCGTCCTACAGCGTAATCAAGAGACAAACCAACAAATCTTAGTGCCAACCCCACAAATTTTCATGAGGAAATACGATAAATTAAATAAACTTTGATCAATTTATGAAAGCAGAAGATAACCTTTGATGTGCAGATGACTTCACGCAGGTGGATGTTCATCCACGTATCACAATTCACTAAATGCCCATTGTAGGTCTCTCCATTCTTGAGCTCCACAAGCTAACAAAACATCAAAAAGATGTAAGCTTTAAATGAAAAAGAAATCTCTTATGCACACAACTTTCATATAGACTAGCCCTAACGCAACATCTCAAATTAAACAGTAGCTACTTAACTTCTGCTCCATATATTACAGAACATATAATTAACGGTTCGAATATCACTAACCATGGGATGCCCTTGAGCAGTCTTGAGCAGCGAAAGAGGAAGCTACACAAATCAAATACAAAAGCTTAGAGTCGAAAACAACACAGTACGAAAAAAACTCAAGTTACAGTATAAGCCCATCAAGTAACTTACCATCTTCTCGAATCAAAAGATTTGGAGATCCGTAAAAAAACTGATCACATAAAAGAATACAGCGTTAAACCAACGCGGAAGAACAATAGAGGAAAAAAACCTAACAAATCAGAAGCAAAGAGAGAAACCTTGATATCAGAAGATCAGCTTCCTCTTCAACAAGAAGGCGGACACTTAAAAGAGGAGAGGAAGTGATGAGGAAGAAAGAGAGAGATCGAAGCGACGGAGGCGGCGAAAATTTCGAAATCGGTTTCCTTTTTCTACCTCTCTAGTTGGGATCTGACGGTGGATGAATTTCCAATTAGGTCAAATAGGAAAATATTATTAACGCCTGTTATGAGATTAATATATACTAACATAGCAACAAGTTCAACAAATCCGATGTCGTCCAGCGGTTAGGATATCTGGCTTTCACCCAGGAGACCCGGGTTCGATTCCCGGCATCGGAGCTTCTTTTGCTTTTTTTGCTTTTTCTAAATTCAATTAAATGTAAAACCAACATTGGGCCTTGGCCCGTTTAAAGAACTTTAGGGTTTTTTTCAATTAAGTACACTGCAACCTCTATAAATTAATAATCTCTATAAATTAATAAATTTCACCGGTCCCAACTTGGGACGGTGTAAAATATGACACAAATCGATAAAATAATAAGATAATAATATTTTTAAAACTGCCATGTAAATATATGGTCCCACTAAAATCATAAATTAATAATCTAGCTATATATAACTAGGTAGTAATCCGCGCTTTGCGCGGGATGAAAAAACTCAGTAACATATTTAAATTATATATTAGTATCGATGTAGTATATAAATTGGATGTGCATTCCAATTAAATCGAACCTATTAAAACAAAAGAAAATCGAAAAAGAAGAAATGGTTTGAACTGGATAATATTATGAAACCGGGGTATAAAGTTATGGTTTGGTATATAAACTGATATTAGCCAAGAAATAGAAGAAACCGATTAACAAAAATAAATATTACTATTTAGCATATATTTATCTAAATTTTATAAAAAATTTATAATCAACATATGATTTATTTATTAATATGATATTCATATTTAAACCATGGATTATGTTAAATATTATTTGTATTCATGCAAAAATGTTCTATTTTGCATCAAAATAAATATTAAATATTTTTCGATAAGTTATTTGTACGAAATTATTGCTGTTGAATAATATTATGATATGAATATTTTTTATTTTTATTTTTAGTAGTTTAAAAAAGTAACATCTTTTAGTTAACAAATTTTAATAGAAAATATATTTATTCACTGAACATTTGAAAAATTACATATAGATATGGGAAAGTTAAATTTTTTGGGCTATTTTATGTGGATTTTGGCAATGTATTTGCTAATCTCTGTAGTGGGCTTAAAATTCATTTCAGGTAGATTGGGTAAGATATTTTGTTGTTTAAGAATATTTGCTCATTGACAAAAAAAAAAGAAAATATTTGCTCAAAATTAGAAAAAAAATAATAACAAAAGATAAGGGAAAAAGGGATTCTTTGGGAACATCGACAAAAGACAAAACAAAACTCTATTTCGGGTTATCTAAACTTTGATTCACGATCCTAATAGGTTTTTTTCCCCAGATCCTCATAGATTTTTTTTACCCATCTTGTTGTGGGAGGAATCCAGAGATGGTTGTGTAGAGAAGATGCATAAGGAGCTGAGAGACACCTACACCGACCGACGTTAGCCCAACAATTCGATTCCATTGTCGCGAGACCAACAACGTTACCGGAGAACATAAAGGACATCCAGAACTGATTAGCGACGAAGTGAGGTACGGAGAAGCCGACGAAGGTGCAAACCCAGAGATTAACTTATCAGATCTTATGTAAATTGCTCTATTTATTCTTCTTTTGGATCGATTTTTTTGTTTATCAGAGTTTTTTTATATATGCAGAAATTGATTGACGTGTGGAGCCGACGAACACCTCAACTGAATGAGATTCTTTAATTGAAGGTAAGAGTACTCAAAATATATCTTTAGAGATTCATAAGTAGACCTCTACAATTGATTCTTTTGATTATGATGTTAGTGATTATCAGCAATTGTTAAGTAATGAATATGTTTAGATTGTACGTGGTCATTGAAGAGGAACTCTTGATGTATACGTATTATGACAAAGGTATCTATAAGTAATAGATTGACTTCTTAATGTATGTTTAATCTACCAGCTGAGCTTTACCTTAATACGTACCTTCTTTTAAGCTAAGATGAATTACTCACTTATGGAGTTTATGATTTAATATTCTCTTGTAACTGCAGAAACAACACTGGAAGCCCCAATGAAACAAATGATGCTGACAGGAAAAGATCAAAGCGTCCCAACCAATCCAAGAAGTTCATGGTGGAGATAAGCTACGCGGCGAAAATCCCCATGCAGGCTATTGCAAGTGCTCTTCAGAGGAAAAAAACCGAGAATCTTCAAGACTCTTTAAGAGTTCTGGATGTGATTCTGCGCCAATGTGCAGCTAGGCAGTAAGTATATACTCTTTCAGTCTATGTTAAAACCTTTATATTATAAGCTTCTTGGAATTTAAAGCATCTTCTTGTTTGCAGAGGTTGCCTCCTTGTTCGCCAGTCTTTCTTCCACAACGACGCTCAGAACTTTGTCCCTATTGGTGGAGGTGTCATTGGAGTGAGAGGGTTCCATTCCAGCTTCAGAACCACTCAGGGAGGCTTGTCCTTAAACATTGGTAATCATTTTTGAACTTACTGTGTGTAGACTCTTCTTTGTAAAATTTGGGTATTAACACTTTGGTTTCTTGATTCTGTAGACGCTTCAACTACGATGGTTGTGCAGCCTGGCCCTGTTGTTGACTTCCTTCTACCAAATCAACACTGCCTTAATGTATACGTATTATGACAAAGGTATCTATAAGTAATAGATTGACTTCTTAATGTATGTTTAATCTACCAGCTGAGCTTTACCTTAATACGTACCTTCTTTTAAGCTAAGATGAATTACTCACTTATGGAGTTTCATTTTTTTGCACAGTCTAGTCTGGAAAAGACAGGTTGGAGTGAGAAATCCCAGCGGTTAAAACGCACACGTGATGGAAGACATGAGGAAGAGTTCACATTACACTACACAGGTTAGAATCGTATCTCTTAAGTTCTTTAGTACGTTTAACTGAGTGGCATAATGAAAACTAACTACTCAGAAATAAATATAAATGTAGGCTAGTAACACTTGAAAATAAATAAATAAAATTTTTAGATTAAGCAACTGAAGGTTCTTCCACCTTCTAAAACACATATGTTGTAGTTAATATAAAAAAACCAAAACTAAAACATAAATATTAAAATCCAAAATTAAAAGCAGACATAGAACTCCCATAAGATAGTAAAACATAAAAGTCTTCAACTCTCTTGCTTTAGACTCACAATGTAGTGAATGGAATCCTGGAAAACAGAAAATAACATTACCAATGAAATATGTTAATAAACTCGGTATACACACAATTCATATTATAAAATGAAGGTTTCCTCAAAAAAATTAAACTTACATGGATTGGAAGTAATGAATTTCAGGAATTTTAGAATCAAACAAAATATCCGAACAGTCTTCAATCTTTGTAAGATGCTTCAACCGACCTATAGAACGAAACAACTCAGTTCAACTAAGAAACAATAAAAAAATTTCTTAAAATAAGTTAAGCTAAATTATTAAAACTTACCATTACCCCACTCAATTCTCCATAGCTTTAGCACACAAACAACAACATTTGCTGTCGTAGAAGACCAGTAGTCATATAACTTCTCAGCAACTGATCCATAAGCGACACACTTAACTTGCGTGAAACTGAAAAAAAATGTCATGGTTAGGTTATCTAATCTGAATTTCTGTAAACAATTAACAGTATACAGTACAATATATAGTACACACTCAATATCTATCATGGAGAACCGAATGCGTGGTTGATTTGGAGTGAAGTACTGGTTTGGTTGCGCTCCTGTAAAATCTTCAATATCACCTACTTCAACCAAAGCTCCACATAGGCCTGGAATTTACATTTGAAACAGTTGTTTAACAAAACCCAACCATGTTATAATTTTGATGCTACTACAGAAAATACACTAAGTCAGTCGAACACTAAAAAAATTTGTCTTAAATATATTAACATACCAACGCAAAACATAGGATGGGATAGACCACTGAGGATGGATTTGTAACTCGCACAACAGAGAAAGTTATACTCGGTGATAGGCAGAATCTTGGTAACCACAGACTCATGAGTAAGGTTGATATGGTACTTGTTCTTTGTTCTGCGAAACAATCCCGAAGCAGGAATTAGTTTAAAATCTATGATCTCAAACCAATCACCTTCATCAAGATTGATTTCAAACGGCAAGTTGACACCCCAAGGCAAAGTTGCTTCAATCATTGCACCCTATTGAAATAAGTTAAACACTACATCAAAACACTATATGATAAAACAATATATTTACTTAATTTGTAAATAGAGTACTGACTTTTTCATCTCCAAACACCATGCCTGTATTGGGTCGAGTTGAACCAAAAGGTGACTTCCATGTTCTGACTACCTTCACACGAATTGCATGTTGCTTTTTGCTTGGAACCAAGGCAGACAAACATGCGTAGGTCGACATCTAGAAGCAAAGGTAAGCTGTTTTGCTCTTTGTTATTGAATGAGTTTAAGATTTAGTTTCGATAACCTAATATACTACCGAAGTTACCATATACTGATATATTTACCTTGGGATGCAAATTTATGAAACGTGCATAACAATATAGACAATATATTTTATTCTTTCGTATAGAAACAAAGATATGGTCTTTCTGTAACTGTATCTATAAAGTATATATCCTAGGATCTTCTCATTAATGATATTTCTTTGCGACACTTGCATGATATTCATTATTCACTTAAAGATGGAAAAGTGAGAAGTAAGGGAAAAGACTTGCTGTAATAAAAATTATTCACTTAAAGATGGAAAAGTGAGAAGTAAGGGAAAAGACTTGCTGTAATAAAAAATCCCCTATATTACATAATAATCTCATCCAAGCTATAATAAAAAAGTCAATATTTAATAATTTCGCATTAATAGTTATGATTGCTCATTTTTAGTTAACTTATTTTCCAGGAAATGGACAGCAAACATTATTTTCTTAATGGACCAGCGTGGATTGGAAGCCCACATAAGTTAAGCTCACCACTAAGCCAGTATCTCTCTCTCTCTCGCCTTAAGATTAGTAACAACGCCTTAAAAAACTTTAAAAAAATCCAATA